TGGAGGATCTCTGGTCAAGAGTGTGTCGTTCTGGGCCAAGGCTGGCGAAGGAGATTCGGTCTGGTGGGGAGAGCCAAGGGCTCCTCCACCAGAAACGACAAGAGCTCCTGAAACCAAGCTTGCCTCGGCCACAGAGGGGCTCTCAGAAGTAAGGAGCAGTGATGCTCCCAGAACTTCTGTAGAACCCTGCCCACCAGGTTGAAGGGAGGGAATGCATATGCATACGTCCCTTCCTATTCCAGAGAAAGGGCGTCCACAGCCCACGCCTTACGGTCTGGGACCGGGGAGACGAAGGTTAGCAGCTGGTTGTTCAGGGAAGTGGCAAACAGGTCTATAATAGGTCTGTCCCACGCCTGACAATTCCCCTTGAAAATCAAGGGACACAGCTGCCATTCCGTCAACACCGGCTGGTGGCGCCTGGAGAGTGGCCACCAACACACTCAGCCTGCCAGAAAGATGCTTGACCGCTATGGTCAACTGCATGTCCTGGCAGAGAAGATGGATGTGGATGGAGAGGGCACACAGGACATGAGACCTGGTGGCCCCTGTCTCTCCAGATACGCGACAACTGTTGTCGGTAGCCACACTTTGGACTGCAGGATACCCCTAAAGGACTGCAGAGCCAAATGAACAGTCTCATCTCGAGTACACTGATGTGCTCCGAGAGTTGTTCGCCAGACCACTCCCCCAAGCGGCATTGGCCATCGAGGTAAGCTCACATTCCTGTCATGAACGCGTCCATGAACAGGATCATAGAGGGGATAGGCTTGGTCAGAGGTACCCCGTGGAAAACGTTCTCCTGAATGGTCCACCAGCAAGAGAACTCCCTGACCGACTGGGTAAGCGGGATCCAGGCCTCCTGGATGACGGAACCCAGTCAGACAGGAGGAACATCTGGAGAGGTCCGATGTGAATCCTCCCTAGGGGGACCACATATGCCAAGGAGTTGAGATACCCCAGAAAACTGAGGAACCAATGTACCTGGACAAGCGACCAAGTGATGAAAGTCAGAGCCAGAGCCCTGACCTTCTCAAACTTCTCCAGAGGTGGAAGGGCTAAGCCCCGAACCATGTCAAAATGGTTCCCCAGGAAGAAGAAGTCCTAATATGAAGGAACCTCTGACTTCTCTCTGGAAGGAATGAAGCCGACTCTGAGCAAGAGTTTCAGGACCAGACGAGTGTCCTTCACTAACGATTCCCACACCAAAAGAGGCATGAGGGAGTCGTCGAAATAGATGTGGACGTCTATTCTGCAGGAGTGAAGGAAACACCAGCAGCAACTTGGTGAACACCAAAGGAGCTGTCGTGAGCCCCAAGGGCATCTCTGCCTTGGCAGCATGGTCCCTACTTCCTCCTGGAGCACCCGTGCCCTTTCTGAATCCCCGGGAGGAGGAAAGAAACAAAAACGGCCAGGAGGCGAGGGACGAATCCTGAAGAAGGGGAATACCTAGACCCTCCCTGACCACCGACAAAAGCCCAAGCGTCCTCTGTAATATCCTGCCACTAGGAAAGGAAAGCAGAGAGACGTCCGCCCACAGGGAGTTCCGGATGGGGCAGATCGAGCCCCTGCCAGACCAGAGAATCATCTGCCCACCCGGAGCCTGAGCCTGCAGGAGAAGGACATGAGCCCGGGAAAGGAGAACCACCGTCCACCCGGCCATACCCTTCGCCTTTAGCGGCCAAGAAGCAGAAATAGTCAGGAACCCTTCTTCTTGCCCCCAGGAGGTTTCTTACCCTTCCTACCCTTCCCCTTGTTGCCGTTGAAGTGAGGTTGGGACTTGGGCTGTGCAGAAAACTGAGCAGCCGAAGACTTCGCCTGCTTCTTAGGAGGCACTGACCCCTGCGAGGCACTGGCCTTCTCAGCCTGAAACCTCTTCACCAGAAGTGCTGAGGCGACCGAGTCCTCCTTCATATCCTTCTGAACCCAAGGAAGAGCTCCCCTGAACAGGGTAGAGCCTTAGAAGGGGGCATTCAACAAGCGGAAACGGTAGGGTTACTGGACTGGGCGGAATTTCAGAACTGAAAACTGCCTAGCCAACACGGCATTGACGAGCAGAGAACCTGCAAGGCTGCCGTGTCCTGTATGTCGGCCGTTCTGTCTCGGATAACCGACACTCAGGCAAATCGGATACCCTGTATAGACAAACTGTCAGGAAGTCTATGTATGACAGAACTTGGATGGAGAGGTGCAACATTCTCTCCATCCTGTGGTGCTCTTTGGGATCGAGCACCACCTGGTCCACTGATTTGCCGGGCCAGGCAGCCAGCTGTCTCAACTCCAGCTGTGCTGGTTGAGAGGCCAGCTGCCCATCATGTGTGGCATAGTCGGAAGCTGAAGCCTCCGACAATTCACCAACACCGAGCTGCAGACCGACAAACCCGAGAGCACGGGTAGAGAAGGAGTCCTTCTCTAAAACCGGAGCCCGGGCCGTGGCCAGAACCGAAGACATGATATTGCCTTCTGGCAGAGACCGATCTGAGCGAACGGAAGCCCGAGGAGCCACCAGGGAACCCAGAAGGATGGTGGATTCAGGCGCCGACGATGCTGAGGCGATGGGCAAACCTCCGCCCTGAGAATCCGGGAGATGTTGGCCCGGAGGACCCGCATCCCAGAAAGCACATGCTGAGCCTCAGCTTCAGCAGTCTCAGGGCCATCTTCCCCTTGTGAACCCTCTTGGCCCAGGAGAAAGATGAATGACATCGTCTTCCTCTGCCGAGCCCGCACCCTCGATGTCCATCTCCTCCTCAATAGAGACCGAAGTCCCCTTGGGAGGAACAGGGGCCGCCAGAGGAGCCATCTCCGCAGAGGGGAACTCCTCTTTATGGCATTTGGACGCAGCGCGACCAACAGCTGTAGCTGTAGGCTTGGGTCGGAGACCCGAAGCCGACCCCTGGGAACAGGAGACCGACGGGTCCGCGCTGGAGGCGGAAGTCCTTAAGGTCTGGCAAACCTTTATAGGACCGGCCAACAAGGCCCCCGAAGTAGCAGAACATTGGGGGGATTCCGCACTGCTATAACATCTCCTAGAGGAGAGACCAACCCCTATGGGTTCCACGAGTGAAGACCCATGGGGTAAAAACCCAAACCCCTGAGGGAATGGGAACGGTCCAGCGGGCCGGGAGTGACCCCAGAACTGGCCAAGATGGCCTGCCTGAGTCTGGGGCTGGACATCCTGTCCAAAGGACCAGGATGAACCGCCACTCCCACCAGGTGGAAACCCAGACATGTACAGGCTAAGCCCGTAACTGCTGAGTAACTGTTGGTACCCAAAACCATCCGCAGGTTGGCCTGGGCGACCCAGGAATAAGTGCCCGCAGGCACCCCTACTCCCTGAGCCCGGGGGAAAGGGAGACCGGAAACCGGACTCCTGGCCTGAATCCCCAAACCCTTGGAGGAAAACCCCCTGGGAAACCCTGCACTGGGAAATCTGGATTGGGACGGAAGTCCCAGAGCCAGAAGCCTGTGAGGGTGGGAAAACAGACCCCGCGCTGACACCAGGATTAGTGAACTCAAGTGTCACTAATCCCCGTAGCCACAGACAATCCTGACAAAAAGTCTGTGGCCCCTGAACCTATACACGAAGGCACAGTTCCGGAGTCAAAGCGGCCCCCACCAACGACGCCACCTGGCGTGCCGAGGTCCCTGAAGGAATCAGAGACCTCGACCGGAAGTCCCTTTCCGACGGTAACACCGCCGCCTATCGAGAGCTACCGGCCAATTCGACCCTTGACTGCGCCGAGTCAGGGTCGGGCTGCCCCCCCCCTACTCCAGGACGCACCTGGACAGGGGGAGCCACCCCCTGCTGAAGGGCGGAGCTCGGTGGAACGAGAGCACCCCCAGCAGGAACGCTCTGGTTCAGAACTTCAGGAGGGAGGTCTTAAAAAGCTTACTTCCCTTACCGGAAGAAGAGGACGAATCCCTCTTCCGGCGGAAAGTAAGCTGGAAAGGCATGGGAGCCTAAGCAGCAGACTCCATGTGCAAACAAAGTTCACATAGTGAGGTCTGGCTGTAATGTCGGCAAATGGGACAGGTATCATGGGGTTCCCATTATCTATAGAAATAGGAACATCCATGCGCTGACCCCCGACGTAAACCCGGCACCTTTATCCAGCATCGAAACAATAAAAAATTGTAACAATGAAAACAAGGATAAAAAGTTTTCTAACAATCAAAAAACTACGAACGAGATCATAAAACCTACCGTACGCAGCAAGATTGTACTGCAAAAAAAGAAAACGGTCGTACAAAACGGCCGACAAAGCAGCAAGAAAACAATTTCAACTTCACGAAAATCCGAGTGACGAGACAAGTAGTCACTCACTCGAACACGCGGAGTAAAAACACGGCCGGAAACGAAGTTCTCGAACAATCAAAAAACTACGAACGAGAGCACAAAGCCTACCGTACGCAGCAAGATTGCACTGCATAAATAAAACGGCCGTACAACACGGCCGACAAAGCAGCAAGAAAACAAATTCCAACTTCACGCAAATCCGAGCAACGAGACAAGTAGTCACGCACTCGAATACGTGGAGGAAAAAAAAAAAAAAACGGCCGGAAATACGGTCAAAATAAACAAATGACAATACTTAATTTCACAATATAAGTTGGGAGATGGGTTTATAGACTGCTAATAGAGTAACAATATACTCAAACGACAATGGCAGTACGAAGAGAAGGAGTAAGAAAAGCACTTAGCTCAGACACCTCCGCACTCGTCGGCAGCCATAAAGGTAAGAGGAAGGGAGATCACTCTGCGTTCCTGCCGTGATGGCTCATGGATCGTAGGGAGGGCGGGATTGTTTTTCTTTTGAATCTTTTGTTGTTGGGATACAAAGATGGGTGTAGGTACTGTATTTGCATACTAAAGTTATGGTAATTATTACTGAAATGAAATTAGCATTTACATTCAATAAATCTAAGTTAGCCTATGTAGGGATCTAGAATGGATAGGGGCCAGTTCAGAAAGATGTGACCTCAGTTTGATATTGTTATCCACAGGTTAATGGAGAAGACCTACGAGACGCTACCCATGATCATGCAATCCAGGTACTACGCCAAACTCCATCAACCGTGAAAATCTCTGTGTTCCGCGATGATAACCAAGTCAAAGAGGAAGACATTTACAATATATTTGCTGTAGAGCTTATGAAGAAGGCAGGGCGAGGGCTTGGGCTCAGTATCGTCGGCAAACGTAATGATGTTGGAGTTTACATCTCAGACATTGTAAGTGTTGACAAATAAACAAGATCAGATGTTTGATGTTTATCAATATATTCTTTACATTTTAAGACTTTAATATACAATATCAGATAGAACTAGTCTGAAGAGATGCCATTTAGTTTTTTGTTTTCACTGTAAAAGCTGTGAACTTTGTGTTATAGGTAAAGGGGGGAGTGGCTGAGGCTGACGGCAGACTTATGCAAGGGGACCAGATTTTAGCAGTGAACGGAGAAGATATGAGGAATGCAACACAAGAGTATGCAGCCACTGTGCTCAAGGTAATCAGCTTCTCTTTATCTTAAACATTAAGGTAATCAGCTTCTCTTTATCTAAAACCTCAAGGTAATCAGCTTCTCTTTATCTAAAACCTCAAGGTAACCACCTTCTCTTTATCTAAAACCTCAAGGTAATCAGCTTCTCTTTATCTAAAACCTCAAGGTAATCAGCTTCTCTTTATCTAAAACCTCAAGGTAATCAGCTTCTCTTTATTTAAAACCTCAAGGTAATCAGCTTCTCTTTATCTAAAACCTCAAGGTAGCCAGCTTCTCTTTATTTAAAACCTCAAGATAATCAGCTTCTCTTTATCTAAAACCTCAAGGTAATCAGCTTCTCTTTATCTAAAACCTCAAGGTAATCAGCTTCTCTTTATCTAAAACCTCAAGGTAATCAGCTTCTCTTTATCTAAAACCTCATCTAAAACCTCAAGATAATCAGCTTCTCTTTATCTAAAACCTCAAAATCAGCTTCTCTTTATCTAAAACCTCAAGGTAATCAGCTTCTCTTTATCCTCAGCAGCTTCTCTTTATTTAAAACCTCAAGATAATCAGCTTCTCTTATCTAAAACCTCAAGGTAATCAGCTTCTCTTTATCTAAAACCTCAAGGTAATCAGCTTCTCTTTATCTAAAACCTCAAGGTAATCAGCTTCTCTTTATCTAAAACTTCAAGGTAGCCAGCTTCTCTTTATCTAAAACCTCAAGATAATCAGCTTCTCTTTATCTAAAACCTCAAGGTAATCAGCTTCTCTTTATCTAAAACCTCAAGGTAATCAGCTTCTCTTTATCTTAAAACCTTCTCTTTAAAAACCTCAAGGTAATCAGCTTCTCTTTATTTAAAACCTCAAGGTAATCAGCTTCTCTTTATCTTCTCTTTAAAACCTCAAGGTAATCAGCTTCTCTTTATCTAAAACCTCAAGGTAATCAGCTTCTCTTTATCTAAAACCTCAAGGTAATCAGCTTCTCTTTATCTAAAACCTCAAGGTAACCAGCTTCTCTTTATCTAAAAATTCTACCATCAAATTCATTATAAAGACAAAGTGATTTAAATTAACCACATGTTTCTTATCTGTGATTGATAGTTATTAATTTTCTAGATCAGTTAGAAATCTTTACATTATCTTAAACACCTTCTTGTAATATGCAACATAAGGCAAGTAGCATTTAGAGATGAATGTTCAAAAGAATGACCTTGACCTTATTTGAAAGTTACAGGCGCCATGTAGGTTTCAATCTTTCTACCTCTTTTCGTTTATCAAGAGGCCTTGGGGCATGCCATTAAGCCAATTGCATGCTGGAAGGAAAGCCATTGTGTTCAAATGTGTGACCTTTGATCTGCTTTTGTCGTCATATGGTTAAAAATTGTTAAAGTATTACAGCAACTCCTCAAAAATGAAGAGGTCCTGTAGGATGATATTCGAATAGTACAGCATGACTGAATTCAGTCCTACAAATTTTGTGCAAATGAATTTCCTTGATCTTTTATTAAGATCACAATGGTCAACTGTGTTTATTTAATTAATAATCATTAATAAACTTTACATAACCAAGAGGCCAGAGATTATTATATTGGGTCTGTTACATTTTGGATGAAGGGCTTCCAAGTAATTTTGATGAAGTATTAAACATATATTGAGAGTCAAAAAGTTTAGTACAGACAGGAAAGTTTCTAAAATAAACTTTATCCAATTCTGTCGTCTGTTTATGAGCTGCAGAACATGAGCGATACAGGTCCTTTAGGACTCTTGTTGAATAGATGCTGAACACAATGTTTTGACTTGTTTTAAAATTGGCATGTGTAGGTTTATTGATTTTTTGTTTCATTTACATGTTCTTTTATCTCATTTACAGACAACAATGGGGAAGATTAATCTTTCTGTTGGGAGACTAAAGGCGGGCTCTCGCACATCCTCAAGACACAACTCAAATTCTGGCAATGCTCTCAAGAAATCAGAATCTTCAGCTAGCAACAAGTCAAGAGGGAAACATAACAAAAGTAAGAGACATTCATGTTAAACCATGTTGTATCATCTTATATCTATATATGTATCACCTCAACTTTGTTCACTGTTTGTCACACTTCAACCCACAGTCCCTCACTCTCCTGTATAATGTCACACTATAACCCACAGTCCCTCACTCTCCTGTATAATGTCACACTTCAACCCACAGTCCCTCCATCTCCTGTATAATGTCACACTACAACCCACAGTCCCTCCATCTCCTGTATAATGTCACACTACAGCCCACAGTCCCTCACCCTCCATCTCCTGTATAATGTCACACTACAACCCACAGTCCCTCACTCTCCTGTATAATGTCACACTACAACCCACAGTCCCTCACTCTCCTGTATAATGTCACACTACAACCCACAGTCCCTCCATCTCCTGTATAATGTCACACTACAACCCACCGTCCCTCAACCTCCTGTATAATGTCACACTACAACCCACCGTCCCTCACTCTCCTGTATAATGTCACACTACAACCCACAGTCCCTCACTCTCCTGTATAATGTCACACTACAACACACAGTCCCTCACTCTCCTGTATAATGTCACACTACAACCCACAGTCCCTCACTCTCCTGTATAATGTCACACTACAACCCACAGTCCCTCACTCTCCTGTATAATGTCACACTACAACCCACCGTCCCTCACTCTCCTGTATAATGTCACACTACAACCCACCGTCCCTCACTATCCTGTATAATGTCACACTACACCCCACAGTCCCTCACTCTCCTGTATAATGTCACACTACAACCCACCGTCCCTCACTCTCCTGTATAATGTCACACTACAACCCACCGTCCCTCACTATCCTGTATAATGTCACACTACACCCCACCGTCCCTCACTCTCCTGTATAATGTCACACTACAACCCACCGTCCCTCACTCTCCTGTATAATGTCACACTACAACCCACAGTCCCTCACTCTCCTGTATAATGTCACACTACAACCCACAGTCCCTCACTCTCCTGTATAATGTCACACTACAACCCACCGTCCCTACATCTCCTGTACAGTGTCACACTGCTAATCCTTAACCTGCTTTAATTGGAACCCTGTCCTAATTCTTGACCTGCTTTATTTATCAACCTGTCTTAATCCTTGACCATCCTAAATCATAACTCTATCCTAATCCTTGTCCTTCCTTAATCAGAACCCTGTCCAATCCTTTCTTGTCTTAATCAGAAATCTATTCTAATCCTTAACGTGCTTTAATTATAACCCTGTCCAAATCTTTGATCTGTCTTAATCAAAACTCTGCCCTAATTCTTGACCTCTCTTAATCAGAACCCTCTCCTTATCCTTGACCTGCCTCAATCAGAATGCTTTTTCTATGTGCTGTTTTTTAAGTTTGCTGTCTGATTTCAATAGAAATGTCAGTAAAAGAGGATATCAGGTTTACCTGTAATAAGCCCACCCCTTACATTGGCTCATAGGTTGTACCCAGAGCCCCACTGTAAGATAGACTTTTTTAACCTTAGATTAGGCATTAGGTAAGTAGTAAGCTTACAGCTTTGGCCCCCAGGATAACAACTTATATACCTTTCTACATACCACTAACCCTCACCTTTATATAATGATTTAATCACAGGATTCATAACACATCTTCACCATAAACGAAAATATAACATACCATTCTCAAAGTCAAACATACAAACTTGTGTTTTCTACGTTTACATCATCCTTGTCACTTTATGCCAATCTTGTGTGTTGATTTATAAATCACCAATGTCCGAACAGTCCTATTGATGCATCATACATGACACTTTAATAGAAGATGACAAAAAATATAAACATAGTCGTTTCACTGGGACATGAAAACATTTCCTGGTGATCCCTTGGTTTAATGAATCTACATATTAGATAAGGTAAGTAATTGTATGGGTTTTAATAGTTTTCTTTCTCTCTTGACAGGTCTGCCCTCCTCAAAAAGCTACTAAACCCTGGTTATCTTTGGTTGCTTTTGTTCCGTGCTAGTACTCTTAATAATTCAATTTTATAATTGACTTGCTCATTTTTGACCAATAGCTGCTCTGTTGTAAATGTTTGCCCAGATGTTGTTCAGCCAGTGTTTGGCAAGATGACCACCAATTGTGTTGTGCAAACAATACCTCAGATAATCACTGTCACAAACGTGGTTTAATTCACCAAGTGGAATACTTGTTATGGATTACAGTTTGTTGTTAAATGATGACCTTGAAATTCTATATTCTGACTATCATGAAATGGTGACCTTGAAATTCTATATTCTGACTATCATGTTCAGGCACTGGACTTATTCAGACTGTTTCATCCATCTGACATGAAATTTTGCACCTGTAAGGAGACAGAAATAAATCACAATATATTTGTATCTATGATACCTGGTTTAATGAGTTTTGTTACTATATATTTGTGTCTATGATACCTGGTTTAATGAGTTTTGTTACAATATGTTTGTGTCTATGATACCTGGTTTAATGAGATATGTTTACTCCATTGTTATTTAAACATAGATACTTTATCTACAATGTACAGCAACAATTATATGTTATTTCTCTCAGAAATTCTCACATTCATACTGCAGTTTTTTTATTTCCAATATTTTTTTTAAATAGAACTGTACAAGAAATACCTGGATAGACTAGACACTATACTAGTGATATCTGGGTAGCTTGATTTTCCTGGTGCTTTGATCATGTTTAGAGAACACATTATAACGGTCAGGTTTTTGTGAGACGTCATTATATGCTATATTAGACATATGAAAATTGTGAGCCTATGCCAAGGTGCAGCATACGTTCGTCTGTCTGAGTCAGCCGTCGGGTGTCAACCAACTGCTTTGTGTCCATCGTTCGTCTGCAATCCTTGAAAAATTGAGGAATCTTTCTTAGATTCCACATGTACATTCCCATTTGTCCTTAGTGTTGTCCTTTTGATTTTGATCAGGAAGACAAAATGGCTGAAAGGTGGCCATTTTTGTTGTTGAGAATGATATTTGCCAAAGATTTACAAAAGTCCTCTTGGTACATAGTAATGTCCTTTCAGTTTTAAGAAAAACAAAGTCTGTATCAGATTTCATATGGAGATCCCCTTGGTCCTTAAGGTTACACTGCATTGTCAATTCCAGGAATAATATAAAAACTGGCCTTTGAGTTGCCATCTTGGATTTTGACAATAAATATTTTCATCTTTCCTAAATTTCATTTGTTGGTTCCTGTTGTCCCTGGCCTAGTTGTGCATTATCCATTTTAAAGTTGATTAGACAAGCAAAATGGCTGAAAAGCAAACATCTTGGATCTGACACTTAAAAATTTGCAAATTTTATTGGAAAGGGATAGAATTCAAACCAAATAAGAGGGAATACGAGAAATGATCCTACTTATAAAGAACAAATAGAGGACATCCAATAGAGGACACCATGATTCCACTGGGATCATGTGTTGTGTAAAATGACTTCTTCAAAAAACCAAGAGGTCAAGAATCAATACATTTGCCAGACGTTTTTTCGAGACAAAGATAAGTGATGATTTTCATAGATTTTGGCCTCCAATAAGGAAATATGATACATCAACATTTTCACTCAATTAAAAGAAAAAAAATTCAATTTGAATGTCATAAATATTTACAATACAAATACAGATATAAAGTAGGAAGAAAAGGGGCATTTTTATACTGAGTGTGTTCTTTCCTTAAGGAATATTCTGATCTGCCGTCAGGTTTTAAGTGACCCGGGCATCACACTGAAGTTTCTTTTTCTTTTTTCTTTTCTTTTTCCCAAAGTTTGCATTAACTGATATAGTTCAGGTTCTGATGGGAAAATGGGTAAAACAGGATAAATCAGGCCTGGGAATCTCTGTAAGTTGTTAGTTTGAACCATTTAGTGTCTCCCGTGAATGCAGATAAAGACAGCTTTAGCTACACAGGGAAATGTTATTAGTAGTGATAGGATAATCTGAGGATTAGGACAAGAAGATATTATTAATGGTGATAGGATAATCTGAGGATTAGGACAAGGATAATCTGAGGATTAGGTCAAGAAGATATTATTGGTGGTGATAGGATAATCTGAGGATTAGGACAAGGATAATCTGAGGATTAAGACAAGAAGATATTATTAGTGGTGATAGGATAATCTGAGGATTAGGACAAGGATAATCTGAGGATTAGAACAAGAAGATATTATTAGTGGTGATAGGATAATCTGAGGATTAGGACAAGAAGATATTATTAATGGTGATAGGATAATCTGAGGATTAGGACAAGAAGATATTATTAGTGGTGATAGGATAATCTGTGGATTAGGACCAGAAGATATTATTAGTGGTGATAGGTGATTATATTAGAATAAAGGTTATATTAGGACCAATGGAAAGATTTCAAACAGTGAAACAACACTTACAAATAAATGTGGCTGCCTCATTTTATTATGACCAATAAATATTATTTGGGCTGTATGAAGCAGGTTTCCTGAACAACTTAAGTGGTCAGAATGGATATCCTGGATGAACTATAAGTATTTGTTAGCATCACATCATAATCTAGAAGGTAATCAACATTTTTTCTGTTAGATATGTTTTGACTGTGATGCCCCTAAGTTATAGTGAGGATATTCTCTACAGTACACTTGTGTGTTGACTACCATGAAGTCGGCACAAGTTCCACACTATCACAAGGTTTACAAATACAGATGACAGTCTCCTGAACACCCTGTATTCATCAGGAGACTATGGAAAGACCTTGGCTGTTAATAGGATGTTAAACAATGTAAACAAATCAGTCACTGTTCAGTTTCCATGTTAAGCTGGTCAAGTGCTGGTGTGAAATGTAAACATTTCCATTTGAAATAAATGATAAAAACAATATGTAATGCATCATAAAACAGATAACAAATCGGTCAATATTTACTGATGAAATGGTCGCTGGCATTGCTAAATATAACCTAATGACAAAAAGTCTTCAGAAAAAGTTGCAGCTCAAGTGAACAAATATGGT